AAAATTTAGTATAGTGACAACGATTGAAATGACTTTGATGAATATTCATTCGATTATTTCCTAACTTTCCTCCCTCCCTCCCTTCCTTCCTTCCTCCCTCCTTCACTTACTTACTTACTCACTCATTCAGTTAACATATTTTGTAAGTTAAAAAAGAAAACAAGTTGATAGTTAATATAATACAATTGTATATGAAGTAATTATTTAGTTACTATGCTTACTAAATTCTTCATATCAAAATGATAAATAAATTGATTAATTAATCACTAAGATGATAGTTAGGATATAATTTTAAAGGGTTTATAATGATTGAAGAATTTAGATTGGAAATGGTAAAGTTAAGATGTTATATAGTTGAGATTATGAGTTAATTGAAGTTCGCGTGCGAGAGTGATAGGTCCTCGGTTCGAATCTTGCGGGGCAGGATCATAGATGCGTACTGCTAAGGTGTCCCACAATAAGACGAAACGGTCGTACAGTGCCTTCAGGTTTTCTGTGGTGGTCTAACTTCAATTAACTCATGATTTCAACTCTATAAAATTACTAAAATCACAAAACCCCCTTCTGATAATGATTATATGCTCACTAGTGATTGGCTTCAAGAGGTATTTCCTGGAGTTCTAGTGAGAAGCAGTAACTAGTGGAGTTCAAACAAGTTTGTTGGGAGATATCAACTCACTGAAGGCATTGGTGAATGGTTGCGCATTATCGTGGATCGGTTGAAATTAGACATTAACACCATTGGATGCCGACCGACTCAGTGGTATAGTGGTCAGGCGCTTGCGCGCGAGACTGGTAGGTCTTAGGTTAGAATATTGCGAGACGGGATCGTGGATACGCATTGCTAAGGAGTCCCACAATATGATAAAACGTTCGTCTAGTGTTTTTAGGTTTGTCATGGTGGTTTAGCTTCAACTGACTCATGATTTCCATTATATAAATTAGAATAAGCAAATTACTGTGTATGGGTTTGAACTGACATCTTACAAATCTGATAGACACCATAAATTCGAAACCCAATAGATAACTCATTTTCTTGTTTAATGAAAACAATGAATGAATACTATACTTAGACTAATCAAAGTGTAAAATCCATAAATGATAGACTCTTGGAAAGAAAATTATCCTTACAGACTGATTATACTAACTTCTCATCACTAATCCAGCGGAATATGAGGATTTTCAAAAATTTTCATCATAAATTCATCTTTCTACTTGTAAGTAGTAGATTATTATTAGTAAGAAAATGTTTATTATCATATTTATAATTAGATTTGATGGTTAACTCTGTTCAGCTGATTGTCTTAGCAAATAGTTTAATATCAATATGCGGTTGTGGAGATCATTGAGTTTCTGATTATGATCCTGATGTGATCAATATTCGACCACAATAAAAAATCTGGAGGTACTGGACGGTCGTTAAGTTCTACTGAGGCAGTTACTCGCTGAAAACAGTGGAAGATGGTCGCGCAATTTCGTGGATTTGTTGAAGTTAAACAATAACAATGTTGGGTGCCGGCTGAGGGGTTTCGATTTTAAGCGTTCGCGTGTAAGACCGGAAGTCCTGAATTCGAAACCCCTGTGCGGAGTAGTGGATGTGCACTGCTCATGATTCTCATACTAGGACAAAACGACTGTCCAGTGATTCCAGGTTTTCACTACTCATCTAACATTGATTCATTCATGATCTCAATCAAAAATAGATTAATAATAGTAAATTATGCGGTGTAGAGGATTGTGAAGATTTCGATGAATTGTTCAACTTTACTTCAATGCTGTACCATTTACCATATCCTTACTTGTGACTAAATTCATGCGGTAATTCCTGAAATTCCAGTAATGAGTTGCGACTTGTTGATGTTCATTTACTTTATGGTGGGTGCTGAAAGATGAGTCTCGGACAATATCATGAATATACATGATAAAATCTAAGTCATTAAATGCCAATTCAGTTCCTTTAACGCTGATCATTGACCTCATGGCCTGAATTTTCCGAGTTTAAAACTTGATATAATCTTTGATGCGTACTGTCCCTGAGGTGTCTCATACAAAGATGAAACATGGTTGAAAGCGTGAGTCAATTGAAACTAGACCAACATGGAAAACTTGGAAGCACTGGACGGCCGTTTAGTTCTATTATGAGACACCTCAGTGGCAGTGCACATCCACGACCACGCACTCGCGAGATTCGAACTCAGGACCTACTAGTCTCATGCTAGAGCACTTAACCGATAGACCACTGTTTTTCATTGCTCCACAATTTGTTATTTAAATAAAGTCGGTCAATAATAGAAAACCACAGTCGTATTGTATTGAAATATTAGAATGAATTTGTTCAAAAATCAATAAGACTAAGTACTTCAGTTAGTTCCTGGTCTCATTAATTAAACAGAACCCACTTAGAGAACATAAGTTGATATGCTTAACATAGTTACACGGCTGTACGAATTTCTGTATGACAAGTATGTGGGGGGGGGTTAAATCTATGACTGAGTGATCGACTACATAAGATCCACACAGGGTCGAACTAAACACTTATTACCACATCTCTACCTCCTGTGCTTGCTGTGTTTGGCTGTCTATCTATTTTAATATATTAAGCTTCTTTGAAATTTTACATTTCTTACAAGCAATTCACTTAAGAGAGTCATAATTCTAAAATTATTCAGTTGTTTTTATAGAAAATTATTGACACTATTGAAAACCTGAAAGTACTGAATGGCCGTCTCGTCCTAGTATGAGACTCCTCAACAGTGCGTATCAACAATCCTTTACACTGGATTCAAACCCAGGTCTTTCGGTGTCACATACAAACGTTTGACCTCTAGGCCATTAATTCGGCATCCAATAATCTTAATGTCTAACTTTAATCAATCCATGATATTGAGTGACTACTGTTTTCAGTAGATAACTACCTCATATCCGACATGGTTGAACTACACCGGTCACAATTTCAGACTAGAACTTCGAAAATTTACTCTTGAAACAAGTCACTAGTGAGTACATGATAATTATCAGTATAGGGTTGTAGAGATTGAGTCCCGTACAAGAATGAAACTACTATCTACCACTTCCAGATTTTCATAAATGGTCTAACATTGATCGGTTCATGATCTCAATCAAAAACTTAAACTATCTCCACAACCCTACACCGATTATTATTTAAGCTTAATATCCATGTATAGAAGTGAGTATATTGTATAGAAAGTTACAACACACTTCTTACCTAATCGTTTCTTCACTTATCTCTCTCTCTGTCTATCTCTTTCTTTCCTTGTAAGACTAACTTTCACTAGTTGATTACGTAACATCCACAATTAAAAAAGACTTACTTGGGACAAGACAATTAAGTACGCCAATTATTAAATAACACCTTTTCTGACTGTATTACTATGACAAACAAAAGTGTAATTACATATCCTGTATACAATCCAAATTACTTAGGGTTATTGTTGCTATGCTGAAAACCAAACGTTATAATAATTAAATATTGGAGGCAGTAGTCATCAGGATGAAGAAACCGAAACTATGCGTACAGGAGAAATATCTTCAACCCCTGCTCCTCCTTTGGCCAACCACAAGGTTAACTAATCAATAGTAATTAAATATTACGTTATTGTTTTAATAGGATAGGGTGACACGTGTCTTGTATACGTGTATAAGTGTCATGTTGTCAATAGCTTGTCGATGACAATCATTATGAAGTGGTTTCAATTTTCTCTTACTTGTATCCATATTTCAATTGTTACTTCTATATTGTTTCTTTATTGTTGCTATGTAAATTAATGGAAAAAGTCTAGTATGAATTCATTTTGTAGTCGTATTTATTGTGAGTAGTAATAACAGTAGTAATGATTGATCATCTAGATAATTATCAGAAGGGGTTTTGTGGAGATTTCAATATTTGCATAGTTGAAATCATGAGTTCATTGAAGCTAGACCACCATGGAAAACCTGGAAGTACTGGTGAACGGTTGCTCAAACTTCGTGGATTCGTTGAAGTTAAACATTGACACCGTTGGATGCCGGCTAGCTCAGTGGTCTGTCGACTGAGTGTTCTGGCGCGAGACTGATAGGTCCTGGATTCAAATATCTTGAGGCGGGATCGTGGATGCGCACTGCTGAGGAGTCCCACAGTAGGATGAAACAGCCGTCCAGTGCTCCCAGGTTTTCCATGGTAGAATGAATACTGCAAAAGTTGGAATTGGTTTCTTGATTTATTAATGACTATAATTCTAACTGTTGAATTCACCTGTTCATCAATCTCTAGTGTCCACATTCTTCCCAGTTCACAACCACTTTTAACCCGTTTACTTATAATTTTTCGGCGTGGTATTGTCTGTATATAAACCACGTCTGTTTGAAGTAAAGGGATAGTAGAGATATATTTATATTTCTGAGCTGAAGTTACTCCCAGGGGGAGGAGCTTGTGCATAATGGACGAATAAGAACTTAGTTATCAGCTGAAGATCGATAGTGAGTGTAATTATTCGACTTCAGGATACTACTTTATCAATGCAATGATAGACGCAAAATAGACCAAATTCGAATTTTAATTCTGATTAACGACTTAACATGTGATATTGGTCAGTGATCAGCCCATTTGCACCATAGGTTTGGAATCAGGGTTTTCCAACTTCCCTATGTGAACCTTTCGTGTCCACCAAACTGGTTAAAGAGCCAGACATTCGCTTTTTGTCCTCTCGATTCCGTAAACAACAGTAACACCACGAGAAGGCAATGAGTAGGACTTCCCTGTCAGATGCTATATACGCCTAGCCATGTGAGAGCATTTGGAGAGGGAGAGTGGACTCTCCCCACTCTCGGTCGTACCTGGGCATTTGGGGGCTTATCCACAAAACTCCTTCTGATATTAAAAAAAAATAGTTGTTCAATATCCCTGTATATACATATAAGATCAATCTAGGTTTAACATTACTTTCAATAGGATCTATGATGAAATTGAATCTTGTGCATCACTTCTTTTTACTTCTAAACAGATTGGCCAAATTTGAAATCTTCACAACAATCGTCATTAAATACTGAATTAGATTTTATTCATCAAACATTACAACATAATAAAATAGATAATCTTCATCATGATGAATACACGGATCGAAAGAATCGAACACTGATAAGTTCTCATGAAAATAACAATCATCGTAATACAATAAGTCCAATTGACTTAGTCTATGATCAAATGAAATCATCATATGATAGTGGAATTGGGAATTCAGGACATATGGAACAATTAAACAAAGATACTACTATTACTAATACTACTAATACTACTACTACAACTACTACTGAATTAATGAATTCTAGTAGTATAAATAAAGATGAAATATCCATGAATGATTATGCATTAGATTTAACTGTAAACAAACTATTTCATAAACAAACTGTTGAAGATAACCAACTGTATGAATCATATATTAAAGGTATAACAATGAATCAATTAATGCCATTTCTACCATATCCATCTTCATCGGAACATCATAGTATAACATCATCCACTATCCCACATCAAACTCCTACATCGAGTAATGTGATGAATAGTTGTGAAGGAAGACTAACAAAAACGGTTAATAATAATGATTTGTCTCCATATTCTCAAATATCATCTTTATATGGAACACCATATCAACCATCATCATCCTTATCGTCATCATCGTCGGTAGATTTATTCACCGCAGCTGCAGCTTATGCGGCGGCGGCGGCCGCTGCTGCTGCTACTTTAGTACAACCAACAATATCATCAACTCCGACAACAACAACAACAATCATCAATTCATCAATGATACCAAGTAATGATCATAATCACCATACAGCAATGTTAACAACAATGATGAAAGAAAGATCATATACATTAGAACAAATGAATAATAGATTATTATCATTACCAAATAGTCAGAGTAGTACATCTATGATACCACAAACCTTATTAACTTTATTTACAAATTCAAATTATAATTGGCCGCCAAAATCATCAACACCTTTATCGAATCATTTAAACAACAACAACAACAATCATGAATTCATGTATAAACATCGTTTACAACAACAACAACAACATCAGCATCAACTTCCTTCTGAATTCTTTCTAAATCAACATTATTCCGAGAATCAATCCACGATGAATATGGATGAAGAATATTTAATGAATGAAGAAAGTCCAAATGATGAATTAGGTCCATTCAAGGCATCACCACGAATAGAATGTGGAAATTATGAGCAGAAGATGAACCTTCATAATAATAGTGATGGTGACGATGATGATAATGGTGAGGATAATGATGATGATGATGACTATGATGAAGATTGTTTAACCGTACAAAGACAACAACAAATACCGTCGACAATGGTAACAACCACGACAATAACGACAACTACACGAACATCAACTACAACTACAACAGCAACATCATCATCATCACGTCCATCTGAAGATTATTTAGAACAATTTATGAAAATTGATCAATCACAAAATATATTATGGCGTCAGTTAGCTGATCGTTTTCAACGTACACTTGGTCCAAATCAATGTGGTGTTTGTAATAAAGTATTAAGTTGTCGTAGTGCATTAACAATGCATTATCGTGTACATACAGGTAAGTAAATCATGCATATTCTCTATCTCCCTTTTATCTATGGGAATATATATTTCTCATCTTCAATTGTTTCAAACATACTTAGAAGCTTTTATAAGTTAAGTAAGCTCTTCAGTTGTCATGTAGTTGCTTCAAAGTTTTGGAACGTGAAGTAATCACATGGAAACTCATAATGAACAATCAGTCTCAGATGTACTGACTAATTTTTGTGTATATTTTTTGAAGGCATTGTATATACCTTAAAGGAATCTGATTAAGTTAAAGAATTCGACGTTTAAGTTCAATACAACTGGTGTGATGTGGGTTAGTTATATTCACACAAGTATATAACGATCGTCGAGCATTGAATGTATTTCACTATAAGATTGGTAAGGAAAAAATGGAAACGAAACGTAGTTGTTATGAAACTGTATGTACAGTAGTAATCAAAGACTACGGACTGATATTTTCAGAAGGAACGTTCAAGACTGAGATAATTGGTTAATAGTTTGAAAATTAACTGTTTACTGTATGGTTTTCAGATTATAGTGAGATAGTCTGTAATTTCCGTGTTAAATACATTCGATTGTCCCCATTCGTGTTCTGTTCACTACACTGGTTCATAAGTGAGAATCTTATTGAGTAGGATAATACAAACACTATGTTGGTCATTAACCAATGATCAATAAACTGTAAATATCTGAGTCCTACTAAAGGTCAGTGGTAACCTGAATAACTTCGTGTTCAAGTTGTAGATTGTGAAGCTCAATGATATAGATTCGACAATCAAGTGAAGCAATCGTTCTATTAAGATCGCAAGTAGCCCCAGTTGATGAGTACCAACAAGTACGAAACCTAGATTCAACAAGATTTCCCATCAATCAACGCCAACCACTTGGTATCTGAGTAGTTCAGTCTCTGCACAGAATATGTAAATACATGTGTATAGCTTTTCACAGTTCTCGTGTACAGTAGTCATGATTCTCAACAAAAAATAAACAGTATTTCAATAAATATCTAATTGTATAGCCATTTAACAAGCAAACGATAGGTTGGCACTTATTATCTAAGTGAAAAACGCTCTGTCACTTAAAGTCGGAGATACTAGATTTGAATCCCGGGATGAACATCGACTCTAGGTTACACACATACATCCAGCTGATGAGTCCTAGATAGAATGAGACACACATCCTAGCTTCTATCGCTAGCGATGTTCCATCTACTCTATGTATAGAAAAATTTTAAATAGTGATTAACAGTACTTCATATTTATCAGTTTCACTTAAACGACACCTCTTCTCGTTCATGGACAAATTTGAAGTAAAATTCCATGGTAATCAACTATCATTTCCTCAAAGGACAGTGACGAAAGTATACAGTATACAAGATATTATGATAATACATTTAGATTCAATTAATATTGTTTGTTTGAATCTTCAGTGGTCGAGTGGATAACGCGATGGCGTTTGAAGCAAAAGGTACGGGGTTCGAGTACCAGAGTGAACATCAACAAGTCTGAGATGTGGCAGGTACATTCAGCTGACAAGTCCCAAAATAGGACGAAACGCGCGTCCTGGATTCCACTGTTAGCCACTATCCATCTTTGCTTACCAATATATTTAGAGTTTCTCAATAGTTAGACTTATGACAGGTTGTAAGCATCAAAAGTTAATTTCAAAGTCACACCTTTAGGTCAACACCTAATGTAGATTACTCCTTCGACATATCAAGGCATTATGTCTGCTTTAATGACGCTATTGAGGAAATATATTAGTAAGAATAAGCACAGAGAATATTTTGAGACCATCATCACCATATGAGTCAGTCCATGGTATACGACTAACTGATGCGCGTCGGTCATCCTTGACCTTGATAAGGATCGATGATCTGTTCAATATTCAGTGATCCAACTATCGGATGATTTGGCTAAGGATCAGTGACATTTCACTGGTTCTACACATGTATATACATACATACATACAAAATTAAAATCATTAATCTTTATTATGCTCATTTCATTTAAATTAAATTCATAAAATTTTGTTTAAATTTATTAAAATCAAGGTCAAACAGTATGCCACCAATTCAATTTTTGAATATTGATCATCATTCAAAAATGTTTAAATTAATTGATTATTTTTTAAATTTTTGTTGTTGTTTTAATTATTGATTCATTATTATTTATAGAAGAACGTCCATTTGTATGTATTATATGTGATAAAAGATTTTCAACAAAAGGCAACTTGAAAACACATTTAGGGGTAAGTTATAGTGATAATGATAATTTTTCATTAAAATGATTTAATAACCTTCATGTGTAACGTACTTACTTGGTTACTAACTCCTGTTACCATCCCTTGAGGGGGAGCCTAAGTTCACTCATCAGCACTCTTCATACAATTCTATCCTTTTCAATTGTTATTCATCTTTTTCATGTCTGCTTACAATTCCCGACGTAGTGTGTTCTTTGGTCTTCCTGTTTTTCGTTTTCCTTCAGGATACCAAGTTAGGGTTTGATTGATGATGTAGTTTGGTAACTTCAGTAATGTACGTCCTGTCCACTTCCAAAGTCTTTTCCTAATTTCCTCTTCAGCTGGAAGGTGTTCTGTCCTTCGTTACAGAAGGCTGTTGCTGACGGTATTCGGCCAACGGTTATGATAAATGGATCAATGTTAGACCACCATTGAAAATCTGTGAGAAGCATTGGATGGGCGTTTCGTCCTAGTATGGGACTCCTAAGCAGCGCCCATCTATGATCCCGCACACAGGATTCGAACCTAGGACCTTTAGTCTTTCGCGCAAACGCTTAACCTCTAGAACACAGCGGATCATTCACTTTCATTTTGTGTGCTCAGTGATGAATGCGTTTTGTCCTCTTGGAAACATCCTACACTATACAAATTATGAATTTTTACTAGAAAATCATAAAAGATTCATGGTAAGCAAAGATGGATAGTGGCTAGTAATGGAATCCAGTTTGACGAGCGTTTCGTCCTGTTCGGGACTCGTCAGATGGATGTAGTTGCATCTCAGAGTTGATGTTCACTCTAAGAAGATCCGAACAAATAATACTAAATGAATCAAAGATTCATTTTTAGAACTAATCGTCAGCAAGATCTGAAGGGATTGACTACTATTCGGTATGGATTCTTGGATCTATTCACTTTCTTAGATAAACAGTGTAGAATAAAACATTTTTTTCTCTAGTTCACTTAAGTCCACATTGGATTATTGGATGTAGCTCATAAGAAACTTTGAGCTAAAGTTTTATGCTACTTGGCACTCTTCAGCAAAACGTCCTAGTAATCTTGATTAAACTGAAGTAACTAACATAACAGTTGAAGACGTTACTATTGAATGGCTTTTACCGTAGTTGCTAAATTTAAAATGAATGGAGTACTACAATTAGATATTACTGACGTATGTAAATAAGTAGATTTGATATCATTTTTTGTTGTCTCTTTTATATCATTTTAGCAACATCATGAAACAATTGAAGCATATCGTACAGCAGTTGCTATTGCTATGGCAACTGGGACTGCATTACCTCGACCTCCACCAATGTCATCTACAACTGTTACAGTTCCACTTTCAAATTCTGTTTCAATACCTCAAATGATTACTTCAGTATCTGTATCGAATCATACATCAATAACATCATCCTCTTCCAACTTATCTCCTTCTTCATCTACCATCTCAAATTCCTCATCTTCATTCAATAAACTAACAAAGAATTCACCAATTAGCCCGTCATTATCTCAACCAATTCATGTGGATGATTCGAAATCGCAGTTCACTTCGAATACATTCTCGTTACCATGGTTACCTACAAGTCAACAATCATTAGCTCTCTTAAATTCAAACTGTTCATTAGGAACTTTTCCAAAAAGATTCGATTCAAATTATCCATATGATTTAATGTTATTTGATAAAGGTAAAGAGAATTATCGAATGAATACCACTACTAATAATAATACTACTGATAATAATGATACTATTCATAGTAACTTAACAATGAACAATACAAATCCGTTTTTACCCCATTACAATTCACATAACTATTCATCTAATCATAATCAGTTCGACTCGATGAAACTATTATCAAATCATGCTGAATTATCGAAATGTATTGATAATACTACCAATCCAATCCATATGAATTACTATACTGACAATACCTGTGATGATGATGATGATGATGGTAATAATAATGATGAGAATGAAGTTGATGTCACTGTTAGAGTTGGTTCTGTTACATCTGAATCTGTCGTCATTGTTGATGATACTAATACTATTGACAATGAGAAACAATATCATTGTAGTAATAATAATGAACATTCATCAAGGAATTGTATTGTGGAATATACATCCACAACTCCATCACTATCGTCATCATCACCATCGACATCACCGTCGTCATCATCGTCATCATCATTTCCATTATCCATTATTTCTACGACAACTACTATGACTACAACTACTACTATTACTGGTAATAGTAGTACAACAAATGAAACATTCATTCATAAAAAAGATTTCTATCTTGATTGTACAACAAATAAATTTTTATCAGTTGCTAACTGTTTGTAAAAAAAAGAAAAAAAGAAAAAAAACTAAAAAAAAAGAAAAAAAACAGAGAATTTCTTCACCTAATTTTTTCATGTTTTTTTTGTTTCCTTCATTAACACGGTTCTGTTCTGTTCTGTTCTTTATTTATTGACCTGAATTAATGGTTTCTTCACAATGTTTTTTTATTGTTGCCAAATATCAATATCAATTATAATATATTTCATGAAATATTATCACCACCCCCTTTTCTGGTGGTGGTGGTGGGGTAGAGAGTAGATGAAGGTAGGGGGTGATAGAATTGTAAACATTTCATTGTTTTTTAATAAGAGAAATTTTAAAAAAAAAACTCTCTCTCTTGTAATTACTACTTTGTTAATGATCATGATCATGGTGGTGATGGTGATGATGGAAGTATTATTAGTCATGGTTACTAAATTTTGGTCCGCTCCTGTTTTTGTCTTTTTTTTGGGGGGGGGGTGTTGATAGAATCTATGTAAAGAGTATCATGTAGAATTTTAATTATTTAGAGAAATTAAAAATAACATTTTGAATTTAATATTGAACTATTTTGTTACTGTTACTGATAAGCTACAATACTCTGTAGTTAGGGTTAGTGAGCTAGATGGGGAGAAATGCCGCATTTAATATTTGAACGATTGAAACTGATTGTGTATAGTTGATTACCATGAAAAATCCGGAAGCATTGGACGACCGTTTCGTCTTATTGTGGTACTTCTCAGTGACAGTGCGGATCCACGATCCCGTCTCGCAAGATTCGAACACAGGACGTATCAGTCTCGCGCATGAGCGCTTAACCACTAGACCACTGAGCTAGACGGCATCCAACGGTGTTAATGTCTAACTTCAACCAATACGAGAAAATGTGTAACCATTCACCAATGTCATCAGTGAGCTGATATCTCCCAAGAAACCTAGTTGAACTCCACTGGTTACTGCTTCTCACTAGAACTCCAGGAAATACCTCATGAAGCCAGTCACTAATGAGCATCTCCTGAAAAACCCCTTCTGAAACTGATTGTGTTATTCTTATGACTTGTTAATTATCACGTGATACGAACACCTATTAGAATACTGGTTTATTTAATCAGATCAATGATGTATAAACCAGAACGAGCAGCCTAGAGTTATCACTTAGTTCTTATTGGATTATCGAGATAGTAACATCTCTCCTAACCACTCCCTAGAACTCTTTGGAAATCACTTATAGCTAGAACTCGAAACACATACTAAAAGAAAGTCAGTATGTAAAAAAAGTTTTATTTTGAAAGTTAGTATAAATACATGTCAGAGTTTGTCTTTTAACGTTGTTGGGTGATTTCCTCAATGTGTGTCCTATCCAATACCAGAGCTTCTTCCTGATTTCTCCCTCCACTGAAATCTGGTTTGTTCCCTCCCACAGTAGAATGTTGCTGATAGTGTCTGGTCAACTGATCCGAAGTATTCTGTGTAGACAATTGTTAATAAACACTTGTATTTTCTGGATGATGGTTTTTGCAATTCTTCACGTCTCCGCCCCACACAGTGGAATTGTTTTGACATTTGTATTGAAAATTATGATCTTGGTGTTGGTTGACAATTGTTTTCACATCCTTCAAAGCTTCTCCGTCAAGTGTAATTCGATTGGTGCGTACCGTATTGTATTGGAGAGTCTTGCTTTTTCCTTTGTTTATATTGAGACTTACTGCTATTGAATGAATACAACATAGAGTCCGGCGATTTTCTGAAACTCCTTTGAAAGTCTCTATTAGATACTAGTTAATCGAATGGTCTGATTTTAGTTGTTTTTTATCAGCTCCTGAAAACGTCTGAGGAATTCTTGAACAACAACTCCATGTGAAGGAATACTATAAATTGTTCAGTTTTACTAAAATCATGAATCTATGTAACTTAAGCCACCATTGAAAACTTGTTAGCATTGAATAGCCTTTCTTAACTAGTACAGCATGCACTAATTGATTTACACTTGGCGGAGAAGCTTTGTAGGATGTGAAAACCTTTACATATCTGGGCAGCATCATCGATGAACACGGTGGATCTGATGAAGATGTGAAGACGCAAATCGGCAAAGCAAGAGCAGTATATCTACAACTGAAGAACATCTGCAACTCAAAACAACTGTCTATCAATTTTCAATACAAATGTGAAGACAGTACTATTGTATGGGGAGGAAACTTGGAGAACCACGAAGGCCATCAACCAGAAGATACAAGTGTTTATTAACAATTGTCTACACAGAATACTTCGGATCAGTTGACCAGACACTATCAGCAACATTCTACTGTGGGAGGGAACAAACCAGATTTCAGTGGAGGGAGAAATCAGGAAGAAGCTCTGGTATTGGATAGGACACACATTGAGGAAATCACCCAACTACGTTAAAAGACAAACTCTGACATGTTATCCTAAAGGTCAAAGGAGAAGAGGAAGACTGAAGAACACATTACGCTGACAAATGGAGACAGTTATGATAAGAATGAACGAAAATTGAATAGAACTAGAAAGGAGGGCCCAGTACAGAGTGGATTGGAGAATGCTGGTCGGCGGCCTATGCTCCATTGAGAGTAACAAGCGTAAGTAAATAAGTAAGTAATGTAATTCCTTAACAATGCAAGTTCACAATACCTGAACCAGAAATCGAACTTAAAACGTCCGATCTCACATTCGAACACTTCACTTTTAGACTGTTAAGTTAGAATCTAATTCTATTTCTTTCTGATTTCAGTCAATTTATACTGTAGTGAACGAGAACACGAATGGGGACAATCATATATATTTAAGCACCAAATTATAGACTATCTCACTAAATCTTGACAAACTTTCTCAATCTCCACTGTTCCTTTTGCAAATATCAATCCGTCTTCTCTGATTTCATTGTTCAGGCATTTTCATACAGTTTACGCTTCGTTCCTGTTCTTTCCTTATCGATCTTCTACTAAAATACATTCTATACCTGATCATCACCATATATTACTTATATGGATATAAGTAGACCACACCACAGTTGTAATACATATAAAATGCTTGACAGCCAACTCTTATTCTACTGAAATACATTCTATACCTGATCATCACCATATATTACTTATATGGATATAAGTAGATCACACCACAGTTGTAATACATATAAAATGCTTGACAGCCAACTCTTATTCTACTGAAATACATTCTATGCCTGATCATCACTATATATTACTTATATGGATATAAGTAGATCACACCACAGTTGTAATACATATAAAATGCTTGACAGCCAACTCTTATTCTACTGAAATACATTCTATACCTGATCATCACCATATATTACTTATATGGATATAAGTAGATTACACCACAGTTGTAATACATATAAAATGCTTGACAGCCAACTCTTATTCTACTGAAATACATTCTATGCCTGATCATCACTATATACTACTTATATGGATATAAGTAGACCACACCACAATACTATTCCATGATATTCATTAAAATGTGTTGTGTTGTGTTGCTTCCTTATATTCAAACACTTTGTTATAATATACCGAAAAAAATGTATTCAAAAAAGAAAAGAAAAAAGAAAGGAAAAAAAGAAAAAAGAAAAAAAGTAAATTCTTTTGAATATTAATTATATATATACACAAAAAATAGAGAAAAAAAAGGAAAAAAAAATCGTTTAAAATGTAATTTTTAATTTATTATAATAAGGTTATAATGATAATAATGAATACTTTGTTATCCTTTGTCGTTGTGGTGGGGGTGGTGGTCGTTTTTGTGGTGGTAGCGGTTGTTGTGGGGGTGTTGGTTGTTGTTGTGGTGGCGGGGATGGTTTAGTTTTTTGTGGTTGTTATGGTGGTGGTGGTTGTTTAAATGAACTATTGATCATTAAATGTTAACGATAGTTACTGTTTAATGATTAAAATAAGATTCAACTATATTACTTATACTTATCTTAATAAGATATTTAAATTAAATGGTAATATAGAAACTATAATGTACTTAAATATTAGCATAATATTAAAATGACTATAGTTTCAATGTTTGGTTCATTTATTGTTCTATTATAAAGAAACTAGGTTTTCATATTATAAGTAAAGATGAATAGTGGATAGTAGTGGAATTCAGTTTGATACGTGTTTCATCCTAGTTGGCAGTCGTCAGCTGAATGTACTTACATCTCAGAATTGTTAATGTTCATTTTGAGACTCAAACCAAGTACCTTTGGCTTCAAACGCCTTTGAGTTATCCACTGCTAACCACTAACCATCTTTGTTTATATAATGTGAAAATTAGTTTCTTTATAAGAGAACAATAAGTGAATTATACATTTAAACGATGTGTCATTCTTGAAAGCAATAGAAATGCGTTGATATCACAGATTTCAATCGGTTATTAAGTAATTTTAAAGTTTACGATTAAGTTACCTTGGGATGGATTCAGTCTATTTAATCAGTCGTAGTCAGTGAAGTTATTCATGAAGTTAATCACCAATGATATTGGAAGATAGTTCGGGAACATCTCAAGTTTTAAACAAAAAACTGAATAGCCGCTAACATAGGGAATCAATAATGTATGTCTCATTTTTCGATGAACATCAACATGTTGATCTAGGTACACCCACCATCAGGTAGGATTCGGCTCTACATAAAATGGTTGGGACTTAATAGCAATATTAAGGCAATCCGTATATGATCCAAGTATTTACGTAGTCTTAACAACACTTCCAACTAACTAAGATGGAAACTGTTATGTATTGTAACTCCCTGACTAAGATCAAATATCAGGTTACTAATCAAAATCTTAATTCTAATCCAATCTGTTTCGCTTGTATCATTGCCTCGACAACCTCCTCATATCCTCATATTAACCAATTACATACCCGACTGGCACTAGTAACCACAAGCAGATAGTAAATTTCTTATTGACCCTCCCTCCTATGTTCTGTCTTAAGTCTAGATGTAGCAGAAAAACCCTCTACGATACTTATATTTCAAACAGAAGTGGTATATATATATATATGTAGA